GGAGCAGCGGCGATGGAAGATGATGATGATGATGACCTTCACATTCGACCATCGGGACGAATCACGTTTTGCTTTGGTTCACCGAGATGTTGGCGTTGGTCAAGCCGATGCCATAACTTGCCCAACTTTTTCTTATTTTTAAGCTTTTCCATGAGTGTTTGTTCAGTAGTCGTGCTAAACGTTACGAAACATGATCGACATTTCACCAATGTTAACGTTACTCAACAGCTTCAAACGAATGGAGTACTACTCTCTGAGGTCTTCCTCACGAAGGGACATCGTCAATGAGTGCCAGGTAGCACCACCATCTCATCCAATCGAAGGCGACTCGTGAACCACCTTCAGGATCTAGCTTTAGCAGAGGACTTGATAATTAAGGCCTGAAATTCTAAATCAACGTAACGCAGGTTCTGAAGTGTTGAACATTCGAGACTTTGACAAAAAATGATAGCTATTTTGGCGCAGGTGGAACATTCAGTTCTACAGGTATAGAAAAGAAACATCAAGAACTTTTAATGATTACAAACTTCAAATAAAATAAGGAACCTCAAAATTAAAGAAATCGATCGATATAGCAATAAGCATAAATTCGGCTTCTTTTCAAGCAATGTATATAAAAGGTGGCTTATAGCGACAAACTGCGCGAGACAAACGAACGTTGGCTTGAGACTTGGCAATGGTGATCCGCCATCAATGAAGAAGTCTCAATCGATTGTTGTTGTTTATAAGAGAAGACGGTGAAAAGGAAAGATGACACCAATGTTTCCCTGAATTATGCAGAAGTGAATCGTCAGAACTTCCGCCGTTCCCTCAGGACCCATTGATGCCGCAACAAAAGGCAGGCATCGGCGTAGCGGTATGAGGTCACCTGTGGATGCATCAGATCATGCAAAAATTTTGTTTACCGCTAATTCTTTCGAGCAAGGAATTATGTCGCTTCGGTGCAACTAACCGAGAAGCGGTCAAGTTGCTGACTTGTGAACGTAGATCGCAGAGGTTTCTGGGGATATCATATCAGAATGTGCGAGGGGTATCCATGATATGAACGCTTGACATGGCTGCAACTCGCTTCAACCGACCTGATTATTGATTATTCAGAGTTGTAGTCAACACAGGATACAAACTCTGCCGCTGTCAGGACGACTGACCGAAGATAAGCCAGTTCTTGTTGCCGGGAAGGTAAATCAAAACTTTCCTTAACAATTGTCCGAACTCGAAGTCCGTCTATGCCGAAACTAATGTGTGATTCATTCCAAGCAGGTAATGCCAGGCTTACTACATTACTAGTCCTACTGCTGTACCTGAGCATCAGCGTTGTCTGCATTTTAAAATTTATGCCGTAACTTTCATCTATACTGAGAATTAAGCAGTACTGCGGTAAAAATCACACATTACTAGACAAGACTGAAAAGCAACATGTGTCTAGTCACCTGATCAAACGGGTGACTCTAACGATGAGATCAAATTTAGGCATTGGAAGGCACAACTATCAAACGAGCAGAAACCCGTTCGCTAATCAAACGATTCAAAAAGTTTATTCGCGTTCTTCAACAACAACAAAAATTCAATCGCGAATACAACCAAACAAAGCTGATTTCACCAAAATGTACAAAAGAAAAACGAATTTTTTTTCAAGAACAAAGAATATCTATTTCTTCATTAGGTAGACTTTTCCTTCGGGTCCTTGTGATACAAAATCACGAACGACAAAAGAAATACGCTGAACATCATAGAAAACGCGGAGACATAGTAAGGAAACGCCGCCGGTATGAATCTGTGGAACTGAGTATGTTCGAACGGACGAACCGACACCTTAATTGGAACATAAAGTAAATGAATATGCCATAACTTGTTGATCAAAATCTAGGTTTAAAACTAGCTGGCTTTAAAACAGTTTGCTGGCACGCATTTCGTCCGAGTAATACGTTCATAGCAAAATGCATATGAAAAGAACAACGCAATCCTGCGAGAAAAAAGTACGGCGCAAACATTTATATACTCTCGCAGCTTTGAAAAACAATGAAAATCAGCAGATAATGAAGAAGATTTCCAGTGAGACATTCGGCGCTAGACATTTTAACTTCCCGCTCTTCTGATTTAAATATGGTGAAAATCATTTTCCCGGTTAAACATGTACAAATATGTTCGAATAACTAACTACCATAATGTTTGAATTTGACCATGGCCTTCCGGTTTGAAGAACAAACACTGGAAGAGTAGAATCCATGCTTACTCTAGCGGGACCAATCTCATTAATCGAAACTTTAGATAATCATTTTCAATCATTAATGCGCATAATTATTCCCACAGGCATACCGGACGTTGTGGCAGTGCATCACTGCACTAATAAGAATAGGTGATTTAAACGGAAGATGGCTCCGTCATATTCGAATACCTGCAGTACCGAGAGGTATGTTGCATCGCATTTCGTCACCTACCGCAATGCGCTGCTAACCAACACAGATTATTCAGAATTCTGTGATGAATGTAAGCTTCTCCAGCAACATGAGAAAGTGGAGTTCAAATCTGTGCAGTATGGTAATTAGCTAATTCCGCACTGCTGCTTTGTATAGCGGTACAAAATAAGCCCCCTGCTATTGGGTATGTAAGGAGTCTTAAGAGTAATTAATGAACTGTAATTAGAGATACAAGAATTCACCTGTGTGACACTATACAGATGCGTCCAACCGATACGCTGGTAATCGACCAAGAACTTAAATACGCCGTACACGTCTGGGATCTTAAACTGCACGGAATATTTTCCATCTAAAGCATGACCGTTTTAGCAGATTTGACAAAATATATTATATTTAAATTTTTAGGCAACGAATTACTTTTCGGTACTAATGATGTACGAATGAACGGGTCGATTCTTACAAATTCCAGCTGAACATCATTCTTCGTTAACGGAACCCATTTATCGTTTTCAAGCTGTTCAATTACAATCGAATATTCCTGTGAATCAAAAAACACATATAAGATCGTAAACGGTGCAACATACTACAAAATACCTTCCCTGAACAAAACTATTGGAGGGTGTACATGCAGTTAAATGCATTAATTTAAATGTGAATAAAAACTCTTGGCTAAGCAATCATGTATCACTACAATTCTAGTTATGCTTAATAAATCAACAAAGCAATGTTTATTCGCTGTAACTGTCAACAATACAACAATCGTCATCATAATCGGTATACACCTTCATATAAAAAGACATTGTACACAAACCATCGCAAAACGAAATACACGATTAAAGAAACAAACCTATTCAGAAGGCTACGTAAATAAGTGACTTGCACTTACAGTAAACTAGACCACATTAAAAGGATTTAAAATTTCAAAGAACTGACACAGGCAATTTCAGAAAATTCACTGGTATTATTAACCAGAATGGAATTGTCAATCTCACAATAACTTGCTTATACTGAGGGCAAAGAAAAGCGAGGTATGAAAAAAGATCGCATACCAGATATTGCGGATATGCACCGAGGACTCATGAACTAAGGATGGGGCTGATTTTCCAGAACATTTCTCATCGGACAAGCAGCAAACGATAACATGGTCAGCCAATTATCAAAATATTCACTAAAAGTTGCTTGTAGATACCTTGTATAAACACCTATGACATTTTCCATCTTCAAAGAATCTAACATTGGTGGCGAGGACTTGGAGAGCAGTTAACAAGTAAAGAATTGAGAGATAACTACTTAAATAAAGTGGCTAAGGATCACTAGTGAAGCAGTTCATCGCGACGGTACGCTGCGATGAACATCGATTTCGTCGCCGGTTCGAAGATTTGCCACCATAGAATCACGCATCACTGTTACAGGAGAATTTCATTCAACACAACTGCATAATGCACGACACTAACTCCTCCTTACCAAGTATCAAACGTCAATTGTTACTGAGGGCTTAAGAGTATATACGCAAAGCCGGGCTAGTCGCTTTATACTGTTCCTGGAATGTAGGGGCGAATTCGCCTGCCAAACTTATAACGTCACGCTCACGACGGTGTCATCGCCAACTAAGGCGGTAGTGAATGACTGATTAGTTCATCGTAATACTGTAGGCCATGTCATGGTGGACCAAAGCTGTCGTTGACATTTACAGACAAATGTAGATCTGTCGTAGTCCGTTCACCACCTCTAAAAGTTACGCGTTGGAACATAATAGGATAATGCCTCATTCATAGTCATGGGTCTGAGCGTCTTTCAAAAGCACTTCCCACTGTCATGCAAGATTCCAAAACTCAGCTGCCGCCTTGCTATTTTTGAGACACCAACTAGAGGAAGTTACTGCAATAATCTCAGATACGCTACTCCGTGACAAGACTGACGAAGTCTTTTTAATGTGATCTAAAGGATTTTTCGCAAAATTTGGCCAATTCTAAAAAAATACTTCTTGCACATTACAACTGGCACATACCACATTGTCGGTAATAGTGTATGCCTGTGGGGGTTTCTTTTCGCCAACGCGATGATGATCAAGCGATACGACTCGAAGTACGCCCGTTTTTTTAAAAACCCAACGAGAAAGGGCAACAGCGAGCTGCTCATTGCCAGATATTTCATGCCTGTAAACAAGCAAGTCAGTATATACAGTTAGTAAAATCTGCGAAAGGATTTTAAACATCTAACAGACCGTACTTGAAAAATTGCAACTACAATTAAACAATGAATCAGTCCTCAATTGTAAACTGGGGAAGCGAGCTGAAAAGGCGCCCTTAATCTTTTCTCGTCGGTCCGTTGACTGGCTGCACTGTAACGAACTCGTCCGCGTTCTTTTGAAAATGGAATGACTAAGAACTGAAAATGCTGTGTTCTCGTTGCCATCTAAACTTGGAAACGTCAGTTTCGACAACTGAAGTTATATTCTTTTATGCAATAATGGCTATTACAGATGTTTGACCGATTCAAGGTTGTGGGCACCAAACAACATATGTTAGTTAACAAGTTATTACCGATTCTTTTCAATATGCAAACCGTAGAATCGTCAAGGCAAAATTTTTTTACTCTTAACAAAGATTCAGTGTTACTATGTACTGCTTTATTTCCTCAACCGTAAAAATCGAAAGCATATGCAATTTTAGCAACGGGCAATGAATCGGAAATGTTACATCGTTTTTAATGATAGCTTGTTTCTATTACTATGTTCTGACTGATTAGTCAATATATTGGTTCCTCAAAAAACAGTTCATCGCCTTATCTCTTCAACTCACTCACAGTCGTCTGATACTCTAAAGAAAAATATTGTACATTACATTTTAGTTGTTCCAAACTTCAGCACAAAGGACACAAAGAATTCGTTTGAAAACATGTCTATCGAACCCGTAAACATCACCCTCGCGTTATTTCTCGCTTGCATTGCACCGATGAGCAGGATCGACTTTCCAACGGCATGCGGATACTATACATAAAGCAACTGATTATCATACGTGAGAAGAGATAACACAGGCTACCTCATCGATCTGTTTGTTGGGCACATGGGAATAAGCCGTACTTGCGGCAGTCAACACCGAA